GAAGGAAAGAAAGAAAATCATTGGCTCCAGTGCCCAGGTGACTTTCTGGCTACCATGGTTTCAGATAGGTAGCAATTCTGCTCTATTTCCTTTCACCACTGGGATGACATTACAGACATCAGTCAGGGTACAGGGACTCAGAACCAGTTTCACAACAAAGCGCATTCTACAGCCGTGATGTTGTCATTACCACTTCTGCACAAGTGTTCCTGTCTGGGTCACCATCCTCTGTTGCTGGCGTTGTTGTCCCATGTGCAAGGATCTACAAGTACTTCGAGGGAGGCCCTCAGCCGTGTGTACCATGTCGAATCACACTATGTTCAGGACAAGCTGCACCCGTTTCCAGTACTGGGTTCACTATCTTGGAGATTGGTCAATAGGAACACACTTCCCAAATTCCTAGTCATCCGAGATAAGATAGGCTTTTAAAATTCATTCAATTAGATACACTGAGGTCTGTTCTGCTGTTAGGAGTCTGTCTGTGATGACTTTTTCTTATTAAAAGTTTTTTTCTTTTTGAGAATTTCACATATGGGAACTGCTTGCATCATTTTCAGCCCTCCCTCTCCCCACTCCACCTCCTTCACTGTCCACCCTCACTCGCTTTAAATCCACGACTTCTTTACTATTGTTACACATATGCATAGGTGTACACACACAACCTACTGAGTTTCTAAAAATATTTAGCTTTAGTTTTTAATTGTGTACGCGTATGGGTGTGTTCGCAGGTAAGTCAGGTGCCCACAGAATTCAGAAGAGGACATTAGATGCCCTAGAGCCACAGCTCAGGTGGGTTTGAGTCACCCAGAGTGGTGGTGGGGAAATGCGCTGGGGTCCTCTGCAGGAGCACAGTCAGCTCTCCAGCTCTTACAAAAATTTTCTAGCTTACTGGTTTTGCAAATATGAAACATGGTTTATTGTTCTAAACAGAAATATTTCCTCTGGGACCCCTCCTCAAGGGGAACATCTCAGTAATTAAATAGTTGTCTTAGCTTTAGGAAAACATTCCTTCCCTGCACCATGGGCAGATGGCTATGGCTGTGGCCCGTGGGTTCGCCGGCCATCTGCACGTGTTCCTGGAGAGAAGTCACCCAGTCCTGTTCCGATGGGGCGTTTCCAAAGCTGCCGTGCCTGCCGCGATTCTCAGGGAGCCGTCCACACCCATCTCACTTAGACTCCAGTACTTCCTCCCACTTAACAGCTGACTCGGAGTTCTTGGGAATCGTTGGAAATATGGATTGCATCTTACTTCGAAAGTCCTTCATCTAGAAGAAAAAAAGTATCAAATGTCAGAAGGAGGGAGAGATAGATGAAGCGCTTAGAGGCAGCATCTTGCTGAGCGGGGAACACCCCGTTCTCACAACTGCAGAGCAGACAGCAGCAGTGAAGCTGAGCGCTGTGTTCAGCACCGAAGAGAACACTGCTCTTCCAAGAGTGAACCCGCTAACTAACAACACAGCTTCACTCCTGGTCTAGACGGCGACATGTGTAACTCAACAGACTCCCAGGATGCGTATCTACAATCATCTACAATGTGCATCTACAAGGGGACTCATGGTGGCTTCCGTTTATAGAGATGCAGCGGGCAATACAGTTTCTGTCCATTTAAATACATGATTATACTCAGACCATTCAACGTCAGAAGTTTAGAGCTGGAGAGAGAGAGAAAAAAAAAACTAGTGACAAATATATTAGAATATTCTCATGTGCCAGTATGAAAAACCCACACTGAGATTTCACCAGCGAAAGGGGATTAAAGCCAAGAGTCAAGGAGGGGTGTGCAGACCTCTGTGCAGGGCATCACTGCTGTGGGGGAGGGCAGTCTCCCTGGGTGCACACTCGGTGCACACTCCGGGCATCTGACCCTGCCCCACACATGGTCCAGGCCAACCCCACCAGCCACACCCAGTCACATCTCCCTTTGGATGCAGGTGCTGTGCTGGCTCACAAAGCTTCCAGGACTGTGCAGCAATCATTTCTGAGGGAGGCTACTGGAGATACAGGTAATTTTTCTTTTGCTGTTGATAATATGTATTTATTTCAAATGGAGGTTAAATTTGTACCCTCTTGCCAAATTCAGGGTTTACATCGTTTTCAGTCTTTGTAAATTCTAGGCTAGCACACAGCCTCCGTAGCATACACTTGGCGACACAGATGCTGGTGTTGGAGAGCCCACTGTTCAAATCCCAGCCACTGTCGTTTTCTCGCCAGCATCCACATATGCAGAAAGGAGACAGCGTATACTCACCTGAAGAGTTGTGAGGACAAGCTGGGCGGTGCACATAATGTACAGCCCCTCCCTCCTCCTCACAGTGAGCACTCAATCTGAGGCCACGGCCACTGTAGCATTATCCAAACGTGTATGCTGGATTCTGAAAACAAAGCTCGCATGGGTGTGGACATCATGGCGTGTTTTATAGTTATGGACCATTTGGTGTGACTATCCTCACCATTTATGGAATCTGTAGGAGGCCAACCGTCTGGGTCCTCTAGATCCACATACCAAGCTTTGCATACTTAGGCAAACACTCTGCCACTGAGCCCCCAAAGCACATTTCCCAGTCCCATCTTGTGTTAGGCAAATGTGACAAACACTGCTCACAGACACCTGCCAGCCAGATAGGTGTATTCAGCTAGTCTTGAATACACGCATGGGCATTGCCTCTCCTTACCATTTTCTCTGGATGATGAGCCTTCATGAGAGACTCTCCGCGAGGACCAGCAACAGTGGTGACATCCGTGAAGAGGGACTAAGACAGGGGAGGGGTCTCTTCTGTGGTCACAGATGCTGTGACTACCATATGAAAGTGGTGGTAGAGGTGACCCAGATGCTGAATACCCAAGATTCATATAAAGAGCGGCTTTACAAAAACACCAATCACAACCTATGAAAGGAACTTCGCAGAGATGTTTGGGTTTGAAAACCCAATGCCTCTCTGGCCACGGTTTGCAGTATGCTGCTCCTTGCCTTTCTGGCTGATGAATTTTACAGCTTGTGTTCAACTGTCTAGCACTGAAGACCAAGTACAATTTCTTTCCACGGTCCCTCATCAGTGGTAACTGTGGTCAGCCGCTAGGAACAACAAGGCTAGTAGGCACAGGTGATGCTGGGTCTCTCTCTCTCTCTCTCTCCCTCTCTCTCTCTCTCCCTCCCTCCCTCCCTCCCTCCCTCTCTCTCTCTCTCTCTCTCTCTCTCTGTGTGTGTGTGAGAGAGAGAGAGAGTGAGTGTATGAATGCGGACACTGCTCTATCCCCCATTCCTGACCTCATCGCTGTCTCTCAAGCCTCAAAGACTGTATTATTATTTGTTCCTGAGGTCGTGAGTTCAGAGAAGACTTCCGACTGAGATGTGGACACTGAAGACACAGGATAGAGGACCCTGCTGGGCCCTGTGCCTTCCAACTGTGGGAATGGAAACCCAGAGTCCACTTTATGTAATAAACAGACACTCAAGTTGCTTCAAATAATGGGGCTCCATGGGGTTCCAAGATGGTATTATTTATATGGACAGTATCTATCAAATATGTATCAGTGAAGGCCATACAAAGGTCAATAAATTATTCCCATTTAAAGATGCCCTTGGAAAAAAGATTTAAGAGTGAATATCACTAAGTTTAATCTGAACCTAAATATACTAAGGAAAATTCACAGCTACTGCCATGGAACTTTCCCTCAGCCCCCAGAATTGATGACTGTGAGCATGCTGGTCACATTACTCCAAAGTGAAACTCTGGGATCTCCTCTGCTCTGCCCTTGTTGGTCAGGGAGAATGTTTTTTATGCTATGGGTTGTAGGGTCACCCTTGTAAGCATGGTCTGTGGGCCACCACAGGCTGTTTCTGGGAGTGTTCTGTGCAGGGATTAAGGCATAAAAGGCATTCCCTGGAGTATCAGGCCCCAGAACCTTGTCCTGAAATACTGCTGTCCTCGGAAGCCATTATTGGAAATACGGACGTTCAGAGAAGGGTCTGACTGATACTTTAGATGTTAGAATAGAACCAAGATTACACCTCTAATAATGCTCTCGTTCCCACTCCAGCAGCTTCCTCAGGGCTGTGGAACCAGTACGCCAGGAACAAGAACACCAGCGGTGTGGCTGGTGTATTTATCATTTGCCCCTCAACAATGAGCGACCAGACAAGTGTGTCATGCAGTTGGGGAGGCAGGTCCGACTGCGTGGTTGTGTCTGCACGTCTGCACTGCAGCCACGTGCATGTGGGTGCTGCCCCCCCCCCCCATGGTCTGGGCTGTGGAAGAAGAAACTGAAAACCATTTTGTCTAACGCATTATATATTAAAAATTTGCTTAAAATATTCAGGTTCTCTCTAATCACAAAATCCTTACAGAATCAATTCTAACAGGCAAGTAGTTGTTGCCACTAAAAGCTGAGTTTGAAATAGTTTTTCTTTTTTGTGAGGTTTTTTTTTTTTGCCTTCTTTGTTGAGAGGCTCATTCCATTTCTGTTTCCTGTATAAGCTCTGCTAATCAGTCCTGCCTACAGTCTGACCACCAAGGCTTCCATGTTCAGTCTGCTTCCTTCCCATCTCCTCTCCTCCCTCTACCCCCTCAACTCCCCCCTCCCCCGCTCTTGAAGCAGCTGCAGTCCACATTTCGTGATGCCTCTAAAAATATATATGTAAAAGTATGTTGTCTAATGTATGTAGAATACCATGTGGGTGCTGGGAACTGAACCTGGGTCCATGCAAGAGCAGCAGGTGCCACCCTTCCTGTCCCCTTCATAATATCTTAATGTACCAACCAGAATAGACCAGTCAGTATGTGTTCTTACGAATCAATTTCTTGAACACCACACCAACAGGCAAGAACCAGTACTTGAAACACCAAAAATACCTTTAATTGAGTCACTCAGAAACTGAAAAGGCAAAGTCACCTGGCAGCTGGATGCCACACAACAGGAGACCAAACCAGAGACCGCCAACCTTCAGAACCCCCAGTTCATGCCACATCCGCATATACTGCATCTGTTGTCTTCGGCATCTTTACAGGGCTGGCTTAAAACTTGATATCCTTCTGAATTTTCCAAAGTGTTTCTGCACTCTTCACCATCTGGGCTTCCTCTGTGGGGCTCAGCTTCACCTTTATAATATCAGAGATGCCATTTTCTCCCAGGATACAAGGCACACTGAGAAACACCTCTTCTTTTATTCCGTAGAGACCTTTAATTTTGGTGGAGACTGGATGTGTTTTCCTGAGATTCTTCAGAATACTTTCTGCAATATCAGCTACAGACAGGCCAATGGCCCAGGAGGTATAGCCTTTCATTTTGATAATCTTGTAGGCACTGGCAATCACGTCTTTGTGGACATTTCCCCACTGCTCGGGGTCTTTGCTAGTTCCTATGGCAGAATTCAGCTCTTTCAGAGGCACCCCAGCGATGTTCACTCCACTCCACACGGGGACACTTGAGTCTCCATGCTCCCCAAGGACCCACCCGTGGCAGCTTTCAGAGTGAATCCCAAGCCTCTCGCCAAGCATGTAACGGAAGCGAGCAGTATCTAGGTTGCAGCCACTTCCAATAATACGGTTTTTGGGAAACCCGCTCAGTTTCCAGGTTATATACGCTAAGATATCCACTGGATTGGAAACGACAATCAATTTGCAGCGGGGGCTGTGTTTGACAATACTGGCGATCATCACCTTAAAGATGGCTACGTTCCGCTGGACTAAATTCAGGCGCGTTTCGTCTTTCGCCTGGCGTGCACCTGCTGTGATAACCACTACCTCCGAGTTGGCAGTGACATGGAAATCTTTGCTGCAAACAATATTTGGCATTTTCATGAAGACACTGCCATGCTGGAGATCCATCGTCTCACCCTTCATTTTTTCTTCATTACTGTCAACAAGGGCAAGCTCATCAGTCAAGCCTTTCGCTATAATGCTGATGGCACAGGCCATGCCGACTGACCCAGTTCCTATAATGGAAACCTTGTTGTGGAGAATGGGCTCTTCGGAGCTGAAGTGCTGGATAAGTTCACCCTTCAGGGTCGACATGGTGGACGTGGGAGTGACGCTCCACCAGGCCCGGCTGAGAGGCACATGCAGCACGCGACTGGGCCGCAGAGCTATGCTCAGGTCCCTGAGATCCACTCCAGCTGCACTCACTCTTTTGCTGGCTCGCAGGATGCCCGTAGCCCAGGCCATGGCTGCTCATTCAGGTGGATGAAGTTAACCGGGTGAGGGAGGAAGACGGTTGATGCCAGAACGGTCGGTTGTTGCCCCGTAGTACAGGCCCAGACCCTCCTACTGCGGCTGCGCAGCCCCCACCCAACAGCGCGGCGCGTGGGCTAAGCTCAGTTTGGGTCTTCCAGCTCCGGCAACAGCAGGCCTGCAACAAGGTTTAATAAAGGGTTTCGCCCGCAGCAAGGAATATTGGGAGTTTTACAAACTCCTACTCTCTAATGTTGATACATAGAACCCAACCCTGACCCCTGGAATTAATCGTTTCCTATTCTCAGTGTGTATATGACGAATGGTTCTGGCAACAAGAGAGAAGTTAGATCCTTGAGCCACAACAAAGGTGGCCATGATGTCTACCAAGAGGCAGCATGGCGGGAGGAACAGGTTCCTCGTTTAGTGTATTCAGCTGGAGGTCCTTCTGCTTAGGAAGGGTTTTTGCCCGTATCCTAACTGTGGTGCACGCTTGGACAAGGCAGGAGTGAGAGGCTGAGCGTGCCTCCTCTTTCTCCAGCCAAAGGAGAGCTCGCGATCGAGTCCAGATTAAAAAACAAAGCAAAAGGAACTCAGTGGGTCCTGCAGGGGACCCAGGCTGGGGTCTCCGTACCCACACTGGAGGGCTCAGAACGGCCTTTAGTCCCAACTGCAGTGACACCTGACGTGCTCTAGGTCTGAGGGCACCTAGTCCACTTGGCGAGTATAAAACTCAGGCGCACACACACTCACGTAAGTAAAGGAACGGATTAAAAACGAAACAACAAAAACCAAAACAAAAAGTTTTCCCCAAGCCCTGCAGTTTCTTAAGGAGAAAGACGGCCTTACAGTCCTCTACTGAAATGAAGGTATCTTTGGAATGACCTTGGAACAGCAGATTAACCTTTAGACGTACGCGTTAGATTATTGACTAAAGTAGTGAAACACGATTACTTTGCAAGCTGGCACCAGCATATCTCATCCCCTCTGTGTTTTTCTGAAGTCTTGTGAACTAATCTCAAAACTCTGAGGAGACGCAAATGTTACAGTTTATGACAGACCTAACAAACTGCAAACACCCAGAAAACATGACGAGCACTCGGAGCACTTCCTCTTGTTGATGGTTTCCTGGAGGAAGCAGAGCCACTGCGATGCATCAATCTAAAACAGACAGATGAATTCTCCACACGCTGGCAATCAGATTTACGGCAGCAAACTGTCAAATTAAAAACTAATTAAAAAATGGTGGCCACTGTTTTAGAGGACCCACAAACTATCACTGATAGCTGCGATTTCTTTTACCCTACTCCTCACTGGGAATGTTAGCCTGACAACTGGTCCACCTTCTTTCTGTAATGATTCCCTTGACCAGTCAGGCAAGTTGTTCTCCAGGGCGAGAGCTCTTGAGTCTGAGATTCAAGGACATGGTGACTCTTAGCTGGACAGCTTCTATTGACAGTCATTTTCCTTTCAGAGATTGAGCCTCTTCAGAAATACAATCTTGATGACTGCAGGCTCTTCAGTCTTTCCCCTCAGTCGCAACTAAATCAATTTTGAGAGGGAAAATGACAACATTCCAAAATAAAGAATACCCCAAACAAAGCAGCTCTTTATTTACAGTAAGTCTCAAGACAGCAAGCATGAAGACAGGCAAGATGGTCATGATGTCCAGAGAAGATGGAGGACTACTCAAAGATATTCAAAACCAAATATAGCCAGATAGCTCCTATTGGCTTTCTATTTTAGGTTATTCATTGTTCTTTCAATTGAAGACCCAATTCAAATTATCTCTTTAAAAATGAAGCTGGATGGTGGCAGCATACACCATTAATCCCAGCACTCAGGAGGCAGAGGCAGTGTGAGGCCAGCTTGGTCTACAAAGCTAGTTCCAGGACAGCCAGGGCTACCCAGAGAAACTGTCTTAAAAACAAAAACAAAACAAAATAAAAAAAAGTAATGTAATATTATAGTTGAGGCAGGATGCTACCTCAGTGCTTTTGGTTACATCACTCAGGAGAGGGAAAGTTAAAAAGCAAGACCACCAGCATGTATCTAGAGCAGGGGTTCAGTAATGGAGATGGAGCTTTCATTTCCTGTCATGTGGTCCCAAATAATCACACAGAAACTTATATTAGTTACAAACTGTTTGGTCTATTGCTCAGGCTTATTACTAACTAGCTCCTACTTTCAAATTAACCCATGCCTATTAATCTATGCATTGCCATGTAGTTCATGGTTTTACCTGTGATCTAGTACAACTTGTTGCTCTGGTGGCTTCTTGGCATCTCCCTGACTCTGTCCTTCTCCCTGTATCTCTGTTTTGAATTTCTCACCTGGCTCTATCCTGCCTTGCTATAGGCCAAAGCAGTTTCTTTATTAACTGATGGTAATGAAACATATTCACAGCATACAAAGGGGTTATCCCATAGCAGGTTCTCAGGCTTCCTCATCCTGTGACCTTTTAATACGGGTCCTCATGTTGTGGTGACCCCCAACCATAAAATTATTTCATCACTACTTTATAACTGTAGTTTTGCTACGGCTATAAATCCTAACGTAAATATCTGATATGTGACCCCCAAAGGAGTCATGACGCAGGGGTTGAGAACTGCTATCTAGACTGATGACATCTGCCCGCCCCCCGTATATTCCCTCCACCTGGACTCTCCCTGCTAGCCCTCTGCCTTCCCTCCTTCCTCAGGAGACTAGTCAATGCCATCCTATAGCAGATCTGTCAACCCTCTAGGCAGAGTGAGTCTTTAAAATGCTGTGTCACCACTGTGCCCCGCAGCCATGATCGGTGTGTTACAAACAGTTAAGTGTAAAAGCCTATGGACGTGCCAGAGGGGGCTGCCCCTTTTTGTCAGCACAGCCCAGTCCTCTAGGACATATCTGAGTGCAGGGACAGGGACCCAGTGAGGGCCGCGAGGGGCAGAGCAGGCCAGGTCCTCAGGGAGCTAGAATTCTCAGGGCAGAAGCTAATAAGGTGGGTAGGTGAGGCCCCTTAGGGCCTGTCTGGAAGACTAACATGAAGAAATTCCAGAGGAAGCTAGGGTTAGTTAGGGATGTCTTAGCTACTTTCCTCAGCTAGGCCTTTCCCAAACCTCCGCCACATTAAACTGGAGCAACAGCAACACCCACAGCGCTGGGAGCACAGCAGAACAAAGCGTGGGAGCAGAGAGCACTTCACTCCTTTAAAACTATTTCAAAGTTGAGAACAGAGGAAATCCTCAGTGAGGAAAAGAGAAGCTGAGAGGGCCAGGCCAGCGCTGTAGCGGACCTGGAGGCTGCTGCAGTGCAGTTCCGGCAAGGAGGGCGCTTGCTGTAGAGCACAGCAAGGTGGGTGCTCCCCATAGAACACAGCAAGGAGGGTGCTCCCCATAGAACACAGCAAGGAGGGCGCTCCCCATAGAACACAGCAAGGAGGGCACTCCCTGTAGAACACAGCAAGGAGGGCACTCCCCGTAGAACACAGCAAGGAGGGCACTCCCCGTAGAACACAGCAAGGAGGGCGCTCCCCAGAGAACACAGCAAGGAGGGCGCTCCCTGTAGAACACAGCAAGGAGGGTGCTCCCTGTAGAACACAGCAAGGAGGGTGCTCCCCATAGAACACAGCAAGGAGGGCACTCCCTGTAGAACACAGCAAGGAGGGTGCTCCCTGTAGAACACAGCAAGGAGGGTGCTCCCTGTAGAACACAGCAAGGAGGGCACTCCCTGTAGAACACAGCAAGGAGGGTGCTCCCTGTAGAACACAGCAAGGAGGGTGCTCCCTGTAGAACACAGCAAGGAGGGTGCTCCCTGTAGAACACAGCAAGGAGGGTGCTCCCTGTAGAACACAGCAAGGAGGGTGCTCCCCATAGAACACAGCAAGGAGGGCACTCCCTGTAGAACACAGCAAGGAGGGTGCTCGCCGTAGAACACAGCAAGGAGGGCACTCCCTGTAGAACACAGCAAGGAGGGTGCTCCCTGTAGAACACAGCAAGGAGGGTGCTCCCTGTAGAACACAGCAAGGAGGGTGCTCCCTGTAGAACACAGCAAGGAGGGTGCTCCCCATAGAACACAGCAAGGAGGGTGCTCCCTGTAGAACACAGCAAGGAGGGTGCTCGCTGTAGAACACAGCAAGGAGGGCACTCCCTGTAGAACACAGCAAGGAGGGCACTCCCTGTAGAACACAGCAAGGAGGGTGCTCCCTGTAGAACACAGCAAGGAGGGTGCTCCCTGTAGAACACAGCAAGGAGGGCACTCCCTGTAGAACACAGCAAGGAGGGCACTCGCTGTAGAACACAGCAAGAAGGGTGCTCCCCGTAGAACACAGCAAGAAGGGTGCTCCCCATAGAACACAGCAAGGAGGGTGCTCCCCGTAGAACACAGCAAGGAGGGTGCTCGCCGTAGAACACAGCAAGGAGGGTGCTCCCCATAGAACACAGCAAGGAGGGTGCTCCCCATAGAACACAGCAAGGAGGGTGCTCCCCATAGAACACAGCAAGGAGGGTGCTCGCCGTAGAACACAGCAAGGAGGGCATTCCCTGTAGAACACAGCAAGGAGGGTGCTCCCCATAGAACACAGCAAGGAGGGTGCTCGCCGTAGAACACAGCAAGGAGGGTGCTCCCCATAGAACACAGCAAGGAGGGCACTCCCTGTAGAACACAGCAAGGAGGGTGCTCCCCAGAGAACACAGCAAGGAGGGTGCTCCCCATAGAACACAGCAAGGAGGGCACTCCCTGTAGAACACAGCAAGGAGGGTGCTCCCCATAGAACACAGCAAGGAGGGCATTCCCTGTAGAACACAGCAAGGAGGGTGCTCCCCATAGAACACAGCAAGGAGGGTGCTTGCTGTAGAACACAGCAAGGAGGGTAACATGAAAACTAGTTTTAAAAAACAATTAAAAACTGAATTGTGCTGCTCACAGATTAAGGTGATGCTCACATGAGGGTATTCACAAGTCTTAGCCTTCCATGTGGAACACAGGCATAGAAGACCACCAGAAAATCACCCAGGAGGACTCTCTTTAAGAATTAGACACTAAAAAATGAACTGGCCACTCTTCTGATAAATTCTCCAAATCACATTTTTGCATCATCATATTCATTTTTAAAAAGATGTATTTATTAATTACGTATACAATAGTCTGTCTGCATGTATCCCCTGCAGGCCAGAAGAGGGCACCAGATCT